GAGAGAGAGAGAGAGAGAGAGAGAGAGAGAGAGAAATGTCATTGTTTTAAAAGAGAGAAAGGAGGAAAGAAGCCTGCATGTGCTATCTGGCTAGGTGTGAGTTCTCACAATGCCTTGGCAATGGAGAGGAATTTTAAACACACCAAATAAATTGTTATTCTGAAACAGTCTGTGGCCATGCTGGTCTAAGTGACTGGTGTCATGCATGGCTGGCTTTGATTAGTACTTGAATGGAATACTCTGTTAAATGACTCTAGCTACAGAATTATGTTTATAAATGTGAATATTTCTGGGTGTTTCGATAAACTGTCAAGGAAGCATTTTTCCTCTCATAGCAAATCACAACTCCTGTGAACCAACACAACATTGATGGCTTTTTCTAAATAGTCTGAGAACACTAAAAGTCATTCTCTGAGAAACTTACTTCTGTACAAGCTTATTCCAGTTCTCCTTGACAAAATCCCATGCCAATAAGTGTCCAGGAAAACGTCGGCCCACTGTTCTAATGATAAATGACAACTTTTGTGTTCGGATGATATCTCCATCAAGGCTACTTTTCATTAACCTGAAGAGCAAAACAGATTTAATCTCCAAAATAACCATTCATGAAGACATGGTGGCTCCACTGAAATTAGTATTGGTTTCCTATGTAAAGCTGGATAGCAAATCAAGGGAAATAAATATTGGATTAGTTGAAGAGTGAAAGCTTGCCATTTTTAAAACATAAAGGATGAACTCAACATAGGCATTTACATATACTGTCACATAATAATTTTTGATATATGAAGGATATTTAGGGAATATATTCTGTTAGAATTTATTACAGTTCTTGAGACTGGTACTTCTTTCCAGCAAAATCATTTTTTTTATTTGAATAGGCAGATAAATACTTTAATTACTTTTAAAAATTGGGTTGTTTAAATGATTTGACAATGAAGGTACATTTCATTATATACTAATCAGTAGGTAGCATTTATTGATTTTGTGTACTAGATAATGCTGTAAGTCTTCCACACAACAGTGCTATGAAGTAGGCATTTATTATCCATCTCCATTATAGTTGAAGAAACTTAAGGTTATATAATTGCCCCATGATTTATAACTGACAAATCCTGAAGCCTAGCATTTGGAATGTATGTGGTTCTTAGATAGTATACTATCTAGGTTTACTGAGAGTAAGGAAAACACACCCTCCCAAAAGAATTTGGCATTATTTTTTAGGGCAAAAAAACCTCAACGTCCAACAAGATGTGGCAGGTTAAATAAATTATAATACAGCCATACTTATGAATACCATGTATCCATAAAAACAAATAAAAGTAGGCTTTATGAATTGACTTTGCAACTCAATAATTGATTACTAATCAAAAAGAAAACACTGAATATAGGATAAATCTATGTTAAAAATGTGATTAAAGTTGGGTATGCTGGTGCATACTTATAATTCCAGTGACTTGTGAGGCTAAGGCAGGATTGCAAGTTGAGACCAGCCTTAGCAACTTAGCAAGATCAAACTAAAAAATCAAAAGGCTATGGATCTAGCTCAATGGTAAAGCACCCCTGGGTTCAATTCCCAGTACTTAAAAAATGTGGTTAAATATGCAGACATGTCTGAATGCATATGCAGGATGAGCATCCTTTTCTGAAATGTGGGGGTCAGAGTGCTTCTCTTGCAGAATTTTTCATATGACAAATGCTCAAGCTGTAGGCCACAACTGCTACTATTAACAGAGAGAAGGGAAAATAAGAATTAATGTGAAGGGTCATGAGAAAGACTTCCATTTTAGTTCATCTTCTAGGTATGATTTGAACACCTTATAATGGGAGTTGCACGTGTGGTGCACCAGGAAATAAAGTTTTCTCTATCTGCTTAGGTCAAAGGCTGGCCACTGCTCTAAATAAAATGCCGATTTGCAGTGTCTTGTGTAGAAAGTGAGCACATGCTAAGGGCATCTCTGTGACACCATTAGGATTTATCTCAATGAAATTACATAAGAGAAGAAAGAAGACCCAGGAGCCTCCTTCTATCCTTCTTGTGTGGCTTTCAGCTTCCGTGTCCCATGTTCCAGATACCTTCTCACTTCTCTTGGCTGGAGCTCTTCTACCCTGCCATTGTGTGTTCCTCCTATTAGGAGGCCTCCTTACAGCCCTTCTTTCATCCATGTGAAATTCCCATTCCCAAGTCTTCATCAGCTGGATGTTAAAAAGAAGTCTGACGAATAAATTCACACGAAGGTAGAACTTATAAGTTTTTAAACATTACCTTTTTCTATTTTAATTTTTTTTGTTGTTGTAGATGGACAGAATACTTTTATTTTATTCATTTATTTTTATGTGGCACTGCTGAGGATTGAACCCAGTGCCTCACATGTACTAGGCAAGGGCTCTGCCACTGAGCTAAAGCCCCACCCTACATTATCTTTTTCTGAAGTGTCTGCATTTGTAAAATGACAGTTTGAATAGAGAAATGCCTTAGCCCCAAAGAATGAGGTACTAACTGTGTAGTTTAAAACATGCCAAAGGGAAGAGACATTTTTGAGGGGAGGGTAGAAGGTTGTGATCCTAACATTTCCAACCTCTTTTGAATAAAGCATATTTTGCCTGTCTGTAAAGGTTCAATCCCTAAGATGAAGCCCAGCACCTGCAGCATTTTGTCATACTGCCCAAGTCAGGTCTGGCTTATGACAAAAAGGAAGAGGGAGATCTCAAAGAAAATGAAATTCCATCTGAGGAGCAAAGTGTTTTTTATCTTTTGGTTTCTTTATATTAAATATTCCTTGACTAGCTTCATACCAGTGAAGTTTCCATACATCCTTTGAGCTGGCAAGAGCTTCAAGTATTTTGTTTTTCTCTGCTTCAGAGCCTACAGATTTGTACTTGCTTAAGAGGAATAACCAGCCTTCCTCAGTTTTTGCTCCAGCTTTGAACACAGTAGTCATGACATCAGTAGGCAGGCTGTAAGAGAGATGATCAAACATAAGAAAAATAAGAAAGCATTCTGAATACAAAGACAAGGACATGGTATTGAGTGGGGCAGGGTAGGCAATAATCACAAAAGTCTTAACTATACAATTTAGAGTCAAGAAAAAGGTTAATTCAGTGATTTCTGCTTTCCTATGAGTAGGACTCTGAAGAACATCAGTTCACAGTGCAATTTAATACAGTAATTATTCACCGAGCACTATTAAGAATCAGGTAGGCAACTGGAGAAGGGATGAGAAATAGTCCCTGTCCTCCAGGAACTCATGGCTATCTCAAAGTGTACAGCAATAATAACATGTAGCAAGTTTCATGGTATAAATTCAGAAGTGGGTACATAGGGCAGGATATAATAAGAAGAGAGGACGAAACACAGTATGGTTTCTTCAAGATATCTGAAATGGGCAAAACTTGAAGAGTTATTCGAATCCTCCACTCCCAACTTCCTATCTGATACTTGAATCTTTTCTCCATAATGCCCAAGAAAAGCCTGGAGACAATCGATCATCACCCAAAGTGTTGCTACTAACTGCTCACTCTACCTGCCATGTTTTGTTTCTAAATTAAAGGAGACCTTTTTGTCATCACACACCCATAAGAATGGCTGCTATCAAATAAAAAAAATAGGGACTGGGACTGTAGTTTAGTGGTAGAATGTTTGCCTAGCATGTGTGAGGATGTGGGTTCAATTTCTAGTACTGCAATAGCTTTCTTTTTTTAATCAGAAAATAACATTGGCAATGATATGGAAAAACTGGAATATTTATGTAATTTTGGAATGTAAAATGGTACAACATAGCAGTTCCTCAAAATATTAAAAATAGAATTTTTATGATCCAGCATTACTACTTCTGGATATATATCAAAATGAATTCAAAGCAAGGGCTCCAAGAGATTTGTGCCCATGTTCATGGCAATATTACTCACAATGGCTAAAAAGGTGGAAGCAATCCAAAGGTCTATCCATGAATAAATGGATAAACAAATGCATCAGTGCATATAGTAAAATATTACTTGCCCTCAAAAAGGAAGGAATCTCTGACACATGCTACAACATATGTGAACCTTGAAGACATTATGCTAAATAAAAAAGGATAGATGCTGTATGGTTTCACTTATATCACATATCTGTTGTAGTCAAACTTACAGAAGCAGAAAGCAGAAAAGTGGTTTCCAGGGGTTTTATTTGTATAAAGTTTCAGTTTTGTAAGAGGAGAAAAGTTCTGGAATTTGGAGCACTACAATGTGAGTATACCTAACACTATTCAACTGTACTCTAATGAAAGGTTAAGATGGTAAATGTTATGTGTATTTGACCCAAATTTTTAAAAATGTCTTGTCTGAGAACATAGGTGCATAGACCTCTTCTACATTAACATGCAGTTTTATAACATTTACGACCCAGGTTAAGAAGATTTGTTTTCAGTATATTATGTGAGGTAAAGGGAATTCACTTGAGTGGACATACACTTCACCTTTGAGTTCCATTGGATGCCATCCAATCGTCAAAGAGCTTCTTGGCTTCAGTGCTACAGTTCTCCAGGCTATGGGTGCAAGCAAATTCTAGCAAGACTGATCGAAGCTCTCGCATAGATGGGGGGCCCTCATCAGTCCAAGTTTGTTGTTGAATTTGGTGTTGAAGCAATTTAAATACTCTGGTCTAGAGAGACAAAATGGATTATAAAGGAGTAATAATAATTAAAATAATCAGTAGAATCAGAACAATCACATCTTTCTCCAACATTTATTCAATTAGGAAAGAAAAAGGGCAAAAAGGGCACAGATATTTCTCATTAGATATCAAATGACATATGAATCCCATGTAAAGCTGGAATGAAATCCACTAAATAACAAAGCCTGTACATAAGGTTGCTACAAGGGGGGGATTTTAGTGATAAACTCAGAAAAAAATAATGGCATCTGTGCAGTATCCTGTGTATACTCAGCTAGAAGTTACTTTCTTGCCAAAAATTATCACCTATAACTCGCTGATGAAAGGAACTTGAAATTTCCTGAACTAATGCTTTAGAATCATAAGCTCATAAAGCAAGGAGAGAAAAATGCACTTCTTTACTGATGACTAATGTTTAAATGTTTTTAAATTCAATATTAAAGGTATATTTAACATATGAACTAGTCTAATACTATAGCAAATTAATATAACCAAACTAACAAGAAAATGAATACTATATGGAAGAATAATTATTTATAGTATTCCCACAATTTTTTATGTAAAAAAATTTCACATCTATCAGAAGTGAAAATCCATATGCTGTTCATCTAGATTTACCAGTTTTTAACACTCTTTCATTTGTTTTATATGTGTGTAAAAACAAAAACATGCTTGTTTTTTTTCTGGTTTTAGCTGAACCATATGAGAATAAGTTACAGACATGATGTTTCATTTGTAAATACCATAGCATGCAACTCCCAGAAATAAGGATAGTCTCCCATTTAACCAAAATGCCTTATCACACTTAAGAAAACAGACAATTATTTAATAATTTCTACTATACTATCTAGTCCATTGTTATAATCACACTTCTGAATAGGAAATCATTGTAAAATATATATTTTTTATATTTAGGAGTCACCAAATTTTTCATCTCTCTCTACAATAAAAGCATAAAACTATCTAAAGTATTTTCATACTGTGAAGTATTTTTATATTGTAAACTGTTGTGCATGGGGGCAGGGTGAAGACACAGGATTTAAAAACACTGCCTATGAAATATGCATTTATTAAATCCACTAGAAGAGAAAAAATTAATAAAAATGTTTACAAGATTTTTTTTTAAAAGAGAAAATTTTTATGGCTATATAAAGAAAGATCAATGGGAAAAAACCTTACTGGTGCCCCTCTCCTTCAGGGATCTCAGGCAAGCAGATTCCCTTTACTGATGGTTTATCTTTTCCATCACCATCACTCTCATGTCTCAACTAATCAAGTGATGACCACATTATGACCACAGATGATCACATTAAAAAAAAATCTCTCAACCCAGAAATTTTAGTTCAAGTTCCTCACAAAGCATTATTTTCTTCTTGTGTATCATTGTCAATACCCCAAATGAGTCTTATTTGGAGAGTTTTAAATTTGAGGCCATTTTTTTCAGCAGATCTTCTCTGAATAAGTCTCTTAATGGAGCTTAATAGGAGAATGGAAAAAAGATTCTATGCAAGAAGGACTCAAAGTCTGTGATAATGTATCAACTTGCTTTGTTTGTTTAAAAGCAATGAAATAGAAAACAGACACCTGGTGGAACATGTTAGTGCTAAAGCTTGGGAGTTATTGGGAGGACGACATGAAGTGGAAAAATATTTGCAATGCAGACTGATAATGCAAGGAACATCAAACCAAGACAGGATCCCCCTTGGACAATGCTGACTGCCTTGGTAGCAACTGTCTACAACTGGCTTAACCTTTTCAATAGAATCCTGAGAGCTCACTGTCCCAAGTGACTAAATAATAAAAGAAATTTAAAAGCTACTCAAACTGTCAAATAGAAACAAAGAAAGAATGTAAGGGGAAAAAAGTTATGTTTGAAATCCTACTTTAAAAAACTCAGTGGAGAAATATGGCAATGCTTATTGAGGGCTTATAATTACACAAAGGAGCTCAAGGAAAAAATGGCACTTCACATATTAGAAGCAAAGAAAACCTGACCCTTGAAGATGTTACACTACTGCAATTATGGGGTACAGTTTTACTAGTGTGTCTCTCTAGATTACATCATCAAGATGAATTCTTAAGAGTTTATTTTAACTATATTTCAAATTATAACTATTTTATTAAAAATAATTCTATTTTTAGAAAAATTCATTATGAAATATGAACATTTATTACCAATTCAGGTTATATTTTGAATTAATATTAATGAAGCAGGTAGTTCAAATTACCTTTCCCTTTCAGAAATAAAGTGAAATCTGTTTTTCTATGGTTTCTAAATTAATGTTTTGAAATTTTAGCTCATTAAACAACAGAATCCAACCATATGATTTCATAAAGTAAAAATTAGAAGTGGGGAGATGAAATAAGTTGTTGGGTTATATAAGAAACAAACAATGGATATGTAAAATAAAATACAACAACAATAATATAAAATGATTTGAAAAATAAAAGACAGGGAAAGATGCTGGCACTTATGTTATATATTACATTTTGATTTATTGTCCTAATTTTACACTGATACGCCCAGAGAGTTCTTTCCTAGGTCAACTGAGTTTCTTAAAAGTGAAATGTCAGTTTTTATTGAAAAAGGTTTATCCCACCAATGCCTCATATGTAAGAGAATGACAGATTTCTAAGTGATAAAACAGGAATATGGCTAGGATCAGACATTAACATCAGATGTGAACAATTTAACAAGATTCAAATGTGCCTCCACCACAATAGCACAGTATACATCACAATATGTGCCATATATCATGTATAGCCTACACAAAAATATCCAATATATATAATGCTTTGGTTAAAATGACAAAAATAATTAGACACTAATTTTAAACACTAATACTTTGAACATTGGACTCAAGGAATTAGAAAGGTCTGCCATCTCAGTTCCTCACTACAGACTATCATATTTCATAGTTTGAGAGTTCTGATGCTACCATAATGCCCTAAGATTAGAAAAAGAATTTCAAAAGATACAGGTTCTCTCTAATGATGAACTGAAGCCAACTTGGATTTTAGTTAACAACATGAAGACCTACAGCAGCAAAAGGGTCTGGGTTCGTAGAAACATATACTAAGCCTCCTGTCATTGTCATCTGTCCATCAGTCCTTGGGATTCTACCCTGAAGTATGTTCATAATGAACACACACCTGCCCAGAAAATTGGAAATCATCCAGGATGAAGATACAGTAGAAAGAAGAGTTACTGAGTACCAATAGGAAAGAATTTCAAAGGTCCAGATCTGTGAATTGAGTTTAATATCTGTGTTCTCAGCATAGGGCAGCTTGAGGTAAATATAAGTGCTTCCTGAGATTAAGCTCTAAACAAATCTAATGGAGACAGTCAGGGAGAAAATGGCTTCTACCATGATGAAACATAATTAGGTTTATGGCTTCAGAGTAGGCAGACATTCTTTATATTCAAAACTAACATTGTCCTTCAATAGTGGGGAAAAATGAATTAAATATATTAATCTTATTTGTTGCTACTTCTATGGAGTTAGTTGAACAGTGACCTCTCACACACATACATTCATGTTTGCTTTGAACCTGTGAATATAACTTTATTTGGAAATAGGGTCTTTGCAGATATCAACTTAAAATGAGGTCATACTGGGATACAGTAGTTCTAATCAAATGGTGTTCTCAGAAGAAAAGGGAAATCTGGGACACAGAGACACAGGGAGAAGACCATGTTGACAGAGGCAGAGACTGGAGTGATTAATCTTACAAAGCCAAGGGATGCCAAAGATTGCTGGCAACCACCTAAAACTAAGAAAGAGACAAGAAATAGATTCTTCCTCAAAAGAAACACGCCCTACCCTGCAAAAACTTATTTTGGCTTTCTAGTTTCTAGAACTGTGAAAAAAATAATTTGTTGTTTTCAGACACTAAATTTATAATAATTTATTATGCAAACTAATATACTACCTCAGTTGGTACTGATATAATATGGCACTAATCACTTCCAAAGTAATTTCACAATTAAAAATACAGATATAAATGAAATATACTGGGAAAACCAGATAGCCACAATGAAGTAAAACTTGGTATCTACTTCATACCATACACAAAAATCAATTCCAGAGCTATCCTAGTTTTAAATGTAAAAGGTTAAGTTCAGAAGTTAACACAATATCTTGGTGAAGGCAAAAAATTTTGTATGCTAAACTACATTGAAGTCTAAGAGTTTATAGTAATTATAAACATCATTAAGAGAGGAAAATAAGGTATTTCAAAATACACATAATTAACAAAAGATTCATATCTGCAAAGGTAAAGAACTTTACAAATTAATAAGATAAAGACAGATAATTTAATAGGAAAATTAGCAAAAGACTTGGGCAGTTTACAAAAGATAACATCCAACATTAAAATAGTACAAATATATCAAAAGAAATTTATCTTCACTAGTCATGAGGAAAACGCAAATTAAAACCAAAATTGCAACACTGGTAAATAACCCCCAACTGCTTAAAAGAAAAATAATTTATTATGAATACTAACAATGGCAGATCTAGAATTTGTATACACTGCTAATGGGAATGTAAATTGGTACAACTATGAAAAACTACTTGACAGTACAGCATTAACTATGCACATGTTATGAGTCAGTGATTCCATTTCCAGACACATACCCCACAGAAATGCATATAAATATTCTCCATAGACAGAAGAACACTCATAATAGTGCTACCTGTGACAGCTCCATACCACAAACAACCCCATGTCTATCAACATTAGCCAAACTGGTAAATAAATGGCCAGTCTCTTTATATCCCACCATAGAAACCCTGTGTTAGATTTTACATATGCTTTAGACCTGTGTTAGATTTTACATATGCTTTAGAGATTAGCAAGTTATCTCCATATCTCTTGGAAATGCACATAAAATCTGTAAAAATTTCTATTACTAATATTATATGTATAAAAAATATATTATAAATTGATGATATCATTTTCAAGAAAACAATTAGATGTGGGTCTGTTACTTTAAATCTTAAATGTATAGTTGATAAATGTTTCAAACTATTTTTAGGTAAAATTTCAATTTTAAAAAGGAAAAAAAATGATAGCAAGAAAGAAGCTTTAATTTTTCAAACAAAAGGTATCCTGAAGAAATATTTCTGGAACACAAAATATAGGAACACAACACAGACAGTAGGCTTTGGAATGAAAGTAATCTGGGATTGAATCTTGGCTCTATAATTTACTAGGTAAGTGCCTGGGGAAGTTACTCAGTCTCCTCACTTATTTAATGGGGACAGAAATACCTATTTTGATAATGTGTGAGGATTACATAAAGTAATCTCCATTAAGCACTCAGAATGTACAGAATATAATAAGTACTCAGATGCTTTTGTTTCTGGTGTGCTTTATTCATTCAATATTACTGAGTGTCACCTTGGGCCAGGTCTCGATCTAGGCACTAGATTTATTATTATTATTATTATTATTATTATTATTATTATTATTTATGAGGGCTGCTAGCTGAAAGCCTAATGGAACAGAAAGTGATAAAAATCTTAACTATTCACTAAAGAGTCCTCAGAAATAATCTTAAAATCTCATGCACTAAAAATAGGGTGCCTTCTTTGGGGTCAGATTAGAAATGTGGGAGAGGGTGCTTTTCAAGCCTCTTCTGGCCCAAATGCCTTGTATTCCCACCCCCTCACTGAGAATCACCCATAAATGAAAGAATCATCATAGAAAATGTGGAGTAGCACAATAATGAAGATGGGAGGAGATAAAGTATGGGAAGAATGGGGAATTTTAGATAGAGCAAAAGGGAGGGAGGGGAAGTAAGGGGGCAGAGGAGTAGGAAAGACAATGGAATGAAATGAACATTATTACCCAAAGTACACGTATGCAGACATGAATAGTGTGACTTTGTATATAACCAGAAACATGAAAATTGTCCTCTATATGTGTACTATGAATTGAAATGCATTCTGCTGTCATGTATAACAAATTAGAATAAATAAATTTTTAAAAATCAGAGCAAAACAAAGAACAAATAGTAAATAGCTCACAATACCGACTCCTTTAGTGCTTGCCAACAGTGTCATCAGCCACTGGATGGCAACCAGCAGGACTCCTAACCAGGATTTTCTCAGCACAAACATAATGGCCTGGCAACTAGCAAATTAATAGGATATCTACTTTGAAAAGGGGCCTATTTCAAAAATTCACTGTGTAAAAAATAACTAGGATTCAAATAGAGACATTTTTTTTTATATGACCCCACACTCAGACCAGTGTCAAAAGTCTGCATTTGGATAATCAAACAAATGTACCTTACACTAGACTTTCATTATCTCTTCATGGTAAGCAATTACATTTTGATTCAAAGTAGAAAATTCACAATCAAGAAAATGAAGAAAATGGTATTTAGTTGGTTGCTTTTTTAGTCCAACACTGGCTGAACAAACCCAAACCTGTAAATAACAACATTGAAGGCAGGCAATAAGGGAAATTGGCAGAAAGGTAGACTTACCACCAGTCTTGAGGCCAGATCAATTTGCCCCAGTTTCTCAAGAAGGTTATAGATAAGGTCAGTCTGGAACAGGGCTTCAGTGATGGGTGCAGTATAGCTCTCATTTCTAAGATAATCAATCAAATCAAAGGCCCTCTGAAGAGGCACCTTGCCTAGGCTAATGGATGAAACAACAGGAAATGTAAATATACTGAAACACACAGAAAAATTCTATGAATGTTGGAGAGCTTTATAGCTAGATGGCTAGTCTCAAGGATCAGAAATTTAACCACAGAGTAGCATCCTGTACAGTTAAAACTCAGTATTATTAACTTAATGTTCATGTGGCCAAAGGTTAAAGATGCATTCTAAGAGAAAGATATACAATATATCTCATGTTTTATTCTACAAGTCACCTGTGAATTTCTTCTGATTCAGTAAAAGTATCCCAATGTTTTGGGTGAGAAAAGATGAACAAAACTGATTTTATTTATTTAATAATTGTATTTAACATTAGAAAGGGAATGGCACAGCGTATGTGAATCAGAAACAAAAACATTTTATTTGTTGTTTTGTGGAAATTTATCCACTGTGAATTTATGGTGAGCACATTTTAAACTTTAGCCACTTTATATAAAAATCATAGCAGTGATGGTTGAGATAATACAAGACGGCCACTACATAAAAAATGAACCAAAATGAAGTTAAGAGTGGTCAAGTAGAATCCCATTGAATGTTCCTAATGCTTTTAGGCCAATTTATCAATCTAAACTGGTAATCTCTTCAAAGACTATCTTTACAATAGGCCACTGTCATTCTTGGCTGTGGGATTATATAATATATGAAGTGGTTGGAAGGCAAGCAGTCCACAGATAAGGAGACTCTCGCCATTAGTGGTGTCCATCAAGCCAGCAGATGGGCACTAAACATCACACTTAAATCCCACTGCTGATTAAAAAGAATTCTCTCTGTGAAACCAAAGGAAGTTTGAACTCTTACAGCAATTTATTCAGCAAAAATATGTATTCTGCTTGTTGGTATCTGCTCTTGAATTATTATTAAATTCTGTTGTATGTTTCTTAACTTTTCAATATGTTTTTTAGCTGATGTTCCGAAACCATTTTTCTTTTTCTTTTTTGGTGGTACTTGGGATTGAACCCAGGGGCACTGTTACTGAACTACATCCCCAGACCCCACCCCACCCCCTGTTTTTTTTTTTTTTTTTTTTTTGAGATAGGGTCTCACTAAGTTGCCAAAGCTATACTTGAAATAAACTTGAGATCAATCCTGCCTCAGCCTCCTGAGTTACTGGGTTTTGCAGGCATATACCACCATGTCTGTCAGTAAACCATTTTTCTGAACTATTCTTTACCCTCAGTAATTCATCAAAACAAAAACTCAAAACAAGCATACTCTACCCTGCAAGTTCAAAGATGCTGTTGATGAGGTTGGCTCGGTCTTTGTCACTCAGAACATAAGGATTTATTTTCAACTGTTTGATTAGTGCTGCCCAGTCATCGTCTGCATAATGTACAATATAATAGCCAGTCATGTTTGTATTGACTTTGACCCACTGTACTTGTTCTGTAAGATTGATGATATCTAAGACAGACCAAAAAAAGAGAGAGAGAGAGAGTGAGAGAAACATTGAGAAGGAAATATAAGAAAATAAAAAGTTAAATGGGCACTTTTATAGTTAATATAGTATATTTTTATTTTTAATCATTCTACTAAGAAAGTGAATGCCGGTCTTCTGGTGCAATTATTTTCATGTTAACAAAGATTGCCACTCATTCACTTAAGGATTATTTATTCACTGGGCATTGCTGTTTCTAGGGTAGGCACTGGAGAGCAAATGGTGAACAGGCAGATATATCTTTGCTTTTATGATCTAATGTAGCCCAATAAGCACAATGTCACATAAGTGCCATCAATGGAGGAAGAAAATATGAAATTTAGTAAAAACACGCAGAATGTTTCATCCTGTAGAAAAGTCTGGAGAGGTCTCTCAGAAGAAATGATGTCTAAGTTGTTATTCTTGTAAGTGATTTCAGATTATGTAGATGTTAGCCAAGTGACAAAGGTTCAGTAGGGACCCTATGTGTTCAAGGCCCCCAAAGTGTCCACAGTGCCCCTGCAGTGAACTGGTCCTAGTTCATTACAGCTGGAGGAGAGAGGGAGAGAAAGGGAAAGTATGTGTACTGTGGGACAGCAAGGAAAAACAGAGAGAGAAGTGCATGCACCACTCAGTCTTTTGTTAAGTTAGAGAGGAAGAACAACAAAGCCATTCAGAAAAGTCACATAATTCAAAGTTAGCAAAATAACATTAGGGAAGGCTTATGGTTTCATTAGGTACAAATAATAGAATAATAGAATAATAATAGAAAGCCATATGTGCTTTTTGGACCCCTACCATTTTTATAGCATATATACATACACACACACACACACATACATATATATACATACATGCACATATACACACATATATACACATATACATGTCATATGATAATATATATAATATATTAAATACACACATATACATGTTGAGAGAATTGTTAAAAATTTCTAACCAATTTTTTCAACTGATATACAAATAATGAAAAGCTTAATTGATTACAAGATATATGTATGAATTTTAAAAATCCTTAAAATTACTAAACAAGAATGTCCCTTAAAGTTGGCAACAAGAATATGGTTTCGACATAATAGGGGTATGCTTTTAAGCATCTTGACGTTTACTGTTTATTAGCATATAAGCCCCATGGGCTTACTATTTTGTTCCCTGCTAATCTATCAATCCCTAGAACAGTGTATCTAGCAGATGTTCAAAAACATCTTTGAAGTAATGAAAGAGTTAATAAAGATTATATCATGGCAAACAGTTTCCTATCATATGTAAATAAAGTTTGTAGATATTTGTGATACAATTTTTCCATTTTAAAGTAATCAATACTTTGAATTTTTTTTTTAATTACAAGAGAAAGGAGAGAGAAGAAAAGTAACCTAAATTCAGATAACGATAGCATTTTGGAGTGCATTGCCTGTCAAGCTTTTTCCCATGTATGCTTTAACTGAACTACAATTTCATATAGTGGATTTATATGCATTTATATTTATGCTACTTTTCACCTATCAGATCATCCCTCCATTTTCCATTGTTCTCATATGCACTGTTCAGAAATGCATATGAAGATTTATAACATTCCACTTTAAGACCTACCACAGTTTAAACAATCTTCTATTTTGAAACACACAGACTTTAAATTTTTTCATCATCTAATTCTTTAGTGAATTGTTTTTGTATATAAAAATGCTTGAGAATCCTTGTAAACTCAAAGATTATTTATTAGTATCTGAAGCTTTAGGGTTTGTCAACTTCAAAAGCACGAATTATTTGTTTATCAGATTCATTTAATATCTTTATTAATCCAATTCTATGAAAAAAGACATTCTGATCAAGTCTTAACAGGACATATCCGTTAATCTTTTTTTTTTTTCATTAAAAAACTCCATACTCATTTCTGTTGTACTGCTGATATAGCAGCAGGTGGGAAAGATCAATTAGATTAAATCAGTTTATTTCTTTTCCAGGGCAGAATGCATTTCTAAGGAGTATTTGTAATGGCAACAGCACCTGCTCCAAGTTGAAATCATTTTTAATAAACCTATGACTATAAAGTTAACTTTATCATGAGATAATCTAAAAAATATCAACATTCTCCAGATACCAAACAATCTCCTATAAAGCTTTTTCCAAGAGAAGACCTTGGGAGGAAGGGCTACAGAGCCCCAAATCTCCATTGCCCAAAAAAAGGGAGACAAAGATTGGCAATAGTTCTACTGGATGGACGCAAAAATTATGAAATATTGAGTATCTTGGCTGATAAGCAACCTGCCCTGTTGTAAACCTAGCCAATTCCAGATGGTAGAGAGGAGGAACCCAGCTGAGAGTGTATTTGAAATTATTACTGTCATCAAGTTGACAGAACATAAACAATGCAGCCAATAGTATAGAGAGCTATCATTTAAAGCATCAACAAACTAGTCCCTTTGGGGTCTTCTGAATGATCTAGAATGGAGGACCTTAAAACCACAGGTATCAAAAGTAACAGCTCTGCATACAAGGAAGGGCAACTACATCCTGCAGTTCAAATATGGATGAGGCCATACTCATATGTTTTTAATTTATTATAATCATTAACAGATTAACAGTCCAAATTTCACAGTCCATTGAGTAGTAAAAAAGAGTAACTCAGATGGAAGAAACCCAGATGAAGTAATCTAACTGTGATTTTTTTAAAAAGCCATTTTTTAAATAAACTATGAAAATCAACTACTGTTTTACAAAGAAACATTAAAGCACTGAAACAGTAAACATATTTTACTACAAATAGTTATAAAATTTCATATCTGATTTGCTTATAGGGGCTAGCATAACACATGCAGTTGAACTATATCCCCTCTTGTTAATATATTCTTTAATACATCTTCCTTTCTCTTATTTTATTAGGAAAATGGCAAGAGCAGAGAATGGCACATGATGAATATCTTCATTATATTCCTTTCTTTTTTTTTTTTTTTTTTTGGCAGTGGGGTATGGGGTAGATTTACTGGGGATTGAACCTAGAGGTGCTTTACCACTGAGCCATATTCCCAGTCTTTTTTGTTTTATTTTAAGACAGGGTCTCACTAAACTGCTTAGGTCCTTGCTAAATTGATGAGGCAGGCTTTGTAAGTGAGATACTCTTGCTTCAGCCTCCCAAGCTGTTGAGATTATAGGCGTGCGCCACCATGTCTAGTCATTATATTCCTTTTCTTCTCTTTTTTCAAGTGTCTTTCCATACATCACATGTCTTTTAGTTTCACAAAAATATTTCTGGAACAATGATACACTTTCAGAAATGTGAATGTTTCCAGTTAGATTTAAAATAAATATCTCCTATAGTTAAAGAGGTTACATTTGAATAAGATGTGGATAAAAGAAGGAAAGGGAGGGGGAAAAAAGTGGAGAAAGAAACATTGGTTTAGTGTAATTTCTTTGACATGTAGCCTTGAAAAATGGTCACATTTAGGTATTCTTATGCACACAAATAACTGTCTAAAATTCATACATATGGGGAAAATTGACAAAGACATTGACCAAATATAAACTCCTAAATATGACTGAACTAACTCACCAGCAACCTTGGAAATAGAATATCAGATAATATACTATAGATTTAACAAATCAAAATAATAAGCTATAGTGAAGTCTTATAGCAGAGGCCTGAAGCCACCCTCTCTGAATAGGAAAAAAAATGAAAATTCAAATAAAGTAAGTGTAATTCTCAGTGGGAGTATAGAAATCAAGGAAATTCAACTGTCCTCAGCATCAAACATTTTTTGTAAAAACAAAACATTTTCAATGTGGGTTCTCAAAACCTGACTGGCAGAAATTAGAGCAGCAGCAGTAGCAAGGGAAATAAGCAGTTGAGAAGAGGAAGTAATAGTCATATTTGGGTCATATATAGGCCAAGTTCTGTCTCTAGATTAAACCAACTATATTACATGGCATTTTGTATATTCCCCTTAAAGAATTTGAGATTATTTTCAAATAAAAGACAATAAAATATTTCATCATATTTTGAATATGTTTTCTATATTTTTATAGTTACATCTGAAATTGAGTCATCTCATTACAGACCAACATTTATTCATTCGATAAATTTTTATTTGTCTACTGAGTGCTAAGTTTATAAGAGTGACTCATACAGCCATGATCCTTACCCTCAATGGGGGTATATATCAAACACAGGAATAGACATTAAGTGAAACAGTACTTGTAGAACAAGTGGAGAAGTAAAGGATGTTATTGAAAAACACAAACAGGATATCTACCATGTCTTGGGGCAAGGGAGGTCCTCCCAGAGCAAGCAATGGCTGAGTTAAAATCTAAATAAAAGGAGATCCAGGAAGTAAAGAGGCAAGGTTACTTCTCAAGAAAAGTAAATAGCACATGCAAAGACCCAGAGATGAGAGGCAGTATGACGTGTTTTGAGTTGTTGAAAGAATTTTTGACCAGCAAAAGAAGAGAACAGCTGGGGTGGTGGCTCAGTGGTAGAGTGCCTGCCTAGCATGTATGAGGCACTGGGTTCAATTCTCAGCACTGCATATAAATAAATAAGAATAAAGAAGAGAACATCCATTAAAGGCTAAGAAAGAGAAATCTAAAGTAGGAAAATGTGAGCTAATCTATGCAGTATGAATTTCAAAGAGTTAAACAAGCTCACATGTAAACTGACCTAAAATAAATAGACAAAAAGATATTTCTTATTGACCAATTATTTCTAATACCATCAAAATTTTAATAAAATATCAGGAGATTTGCTAAGTTTATCCTTATACGTTTATTTTAAATGTTGCAGCCATGTTTTGGCTGAGATGCTGGATAAAGGAAAAAAATTCATTTACTCTCTCTGTGGTCAGAGTGTCTTTCCAAGTATCACTTAAAGTTTATAGTTTTGTTTTACACCAGAGAAGGCAGCATTTTTTAAAATTTTCTAGCCACACTAGATTAATCAAAATAGGGTGACATCACCAACTGTTCCTAGAGTTTAAACTGTTGTTGTTATTATAGTAACACTTCATTGCAGTTTTGTAATAAAACTGCAATAAAACTGGCACATTCATATATTTCAAGTGGCATTCAATTTTTATCCCACAGAAGAAGGACAATGTATGTATTGAATTACAAGTGGTGACACAGTCTTCATTTTTGAGAAGAATTCCTAATAAGTTTATCTAATGGAAAAAACTTAAAGAGGCAAAAATTTTATTGGGGAATTTATTTTAAAAAAGGAAAAGTGATGAATCAGATGTTTAATAAGGGAAGGCTATGTCAATTATTGTATATATCTTTTTTTAAGAAGGCATATGTACGTAATGATTTCAATCAAGTGAAAAACTTATTTTAAAAATGACTAGAAATGCCAGGTGTGGTGGCACATGCCTGTAATCCTAGCAGCTTGGGAGGCTGAGGCAGGAGGATATGAGTTCAAAGTCAGCCTCAGCAAAAGGGAGGCACTAAGCAACTCAGTGAAACCCTATCTCTAAATACAAAATAGGGTGGGGATGTGGCCAGGTGAACCTGAGTTCAATCCCCAGTACCAAAAAAAAAAAAAAAAAAAAGGAAAGAATCATGATAATAGTTATGATAGGGTAACATTTGTTCTTCATTTCCTCAGTTTTTTGTGATACGGATACACTATGCTTAAAAGTTTACTTTTTGAAAAAGAACAGCAATGATAACAGCTTGCTTTTTTATAGTACATAATTCTTGCCAGGCAATATCATCATAACCCTATAAAGTAAGTATAATTACTATCTTTATTCTATTGTCAAAGGATTGAGATTTTAGAGAGGTTACATGATTCAATTAAAATCACACATGTAATAAATGATAGAGCCAAGTAGTGAACCAAACAATGTGGCTACAAAAAGCCATCTCCTTCATCCTAAGTACATTTGCTTCTGAAATACATGGACTTGAATACCATATCCAAATTCAAAGAAGCTTTCCCTTTTTCATAAATTAAAAACATCATTACTGATTTCTACAGAACCCTTTTAGGATGGAAATTTTTAGGATGCATGGTGTAGTTTATCACATTGGTTGTTAACAGATGGGCAGAAAACACATTTCAATTGCTTTTAATAGATTGCTTTGCTTGTAGGTCAACATGTACAAATTGAGCATTCCTTATCTGAAAAGCCTAGGACCAGAAATGTTTTATATTTGGAGTTTGGCAGGGGTCAGTTGTTTGTTTTTTGGACTATTTGCCTAGATATTACTGGGTGAGCATCCCTAATTCAGAAATCTGAAATGATTCAAAATCTGAAACATTTTGAATGTCATATTAAATTAAAAGTTTTAAATTTTGGAACCTATATCACATTCACATTTCATTATCTCCCTTCTCCTTGCTATGATAGTTTCCTGCTCCATTTTCTCCTTGCAAAAAAGGTATGCTACATCTGCACTACATATTATAATAATTATTTGCTCTAAATATAGGTCATGAATCAGGCTTTATTATATTATATATATGAATCATCTAGGATTCTTGTTAAAATGCAATTGCTATATTCCATCCCTAGACAGTAGATAGTAGATAACACTTTAATAAACTACTCTGTTTCTATTACTTCTTTTTTTGTAAATGTGAAATATTTATCCAGGAAATAAAAATAAAACATTTGCTATTTCTTGTCAAGACTGCCAGCACATTCCCTGTGACTTTTTGTACCTTATTTCTTATAATTAAAGACCAATTCTGTGTGAACGTAGAATCAATCTCATTTTAATCACATCTTGGATATATGATTCATAAAATAAGTTGACAGGGTATATGCACTGGAAAGTGTAATGTCTGATTTGCTCTTTGGTCAGACTTTTAAAATTATGCTATTAGCAATTTCTTTTTTAGGAAGGTATTAGTTATATTCAAACCTGTTTTCTTGTCCAGTAGTGATACTGATCGATATTTTGAATAATTTCTTCCATCAGTGACATAGGATATTGGAATATGCCACAGGTAACTGTAAAAAGAAGATATTGTAAGATTATATCTCTTCCCAATATTTCACTTAGTTACACATGACTTCTTGGTTTGGGGGTAGAAAGGAGAAATTTAACCTATTCCCAGAGAAGGGTAATCGTGTTAACTTTCATTAGAATGTATGATCACAAAACATTTAAATACACTTCATTTGAGGGTACAAAAGACACAACACAGAAACGAAGAGTATATACCTTGTATCTAAAGGCTGAATTTCAGGCTTCGTATTTAAAAAGAATCTCTCTTGCTGTATGAAAAGTTTTGTTCCTTTCCTTTTAACAGTCACTAAAGGAAACCCTTTCTGCAGGGTCCATGTTTTCATCATTTTCTTCACATCTAGTGTTTTGTTTGTAACCTACCAAAAAAAAAAAAAAAGAATAAGATATTTTTACTTAAAGATAAAAAATTAGTTAAAATTTTTACAGTTTTATTTGTACCCTTCTCTTGTTCCCAAGCACATTCTATCAAGACAATATTTAATTTTAATGTAAAAAAGAAGTATTAACACTGCGTTGAGTTTACACATCTAATTTAGGTACACAAGCAAGTTCTAAAAGAAAAGAACCTGGAACAGAACTGACTGAAAACTGAGGGAGTGAGAGAAACACTGTGTCAAAAAGCAGCATGAACTAACAGGGTTCATTAAGATAAAAAATTCCTAAATTTCATAAAATTAAAATTCCTAAGAAAGTAGAAGTGCTCTTTTAGGTTACAATGCTAACATTTAGAAGATATGACTAATGATATGTATTCTAGAATGGAAAGAATTGCTGTTCAATTCTTGAATCAACTAAGACTAGATTTTCTTCATTCTCCTATGCTCTGCTTTGTGTTAGCCAGGGAGCAGCAGCAGGAATAGCAGTTGGTTCTCTTGACTAAGTCTCTTTAGAGAATACTGGTAAACTTTTTTGATGGTCACACATATAGTCTTTCCCAGAAAACACAAGAACTTATCTGAACAATGTAGAATCTATTGTCAGATGTTTGCAGATCTCTAATGCCACTATCCCTATGACTGGCATCAATGTTTAGGAAGCAATTTTTTGTCTCTTTAAAGAAAAGGGTTGAATTTATGATTAAAATTATTTTTCTAGATTACATCTAGATTTGGATTGCTAGCAATTAAGTCACATGCAGATAAATTCATGTTATGCTACTATGCAAACCTTACCTCAATCACCATAAGCCTATTTAAAGCACAAAAGGATAAAGTGATTCTTCCCAAATTCATTGTGATATTACTCTTATATTTCTAGTGGCTCTGGCCTCCTTATTTATGGACCAGAGGGTGGTAAGGAAAGCAACATGCTTTGGAGTGTTTGAAGCAATACTGAAGTGAAGAGCCCAATGCATAATCTGATGTGGATGCTGGAAAAAGCTGAGTATAATGTTATGGACCAGGTTGGGATGGGACTACACTATGGTCCAAAAGTTGGAGTTAGTGAGGAAGACAGAAATATTTTCTAAATCCCAAGAGATAAGATACTGGTTATAAAGTAAAAAACATGATTTTCAACTGAAATGCTACTATATGATTATAGAATTTGAAATCAAGTGTTAGGTAATAAGAACTGAAACCTTTCAAAAAGAATTCAGAGTAGGGAAGGAATATCTTTTGAGCAAAAACTTAACAGCTAGAACACACCAGAATTCACATTAGGTAGCAGCAGAAAAAGCATATGGAAAGGAGCCAAAACAAGGGCTCTTAATCCAACATTCATAAAACTTTGAAAATGTGCAATGATTTGTGGTTTTCTTAGGAAATGTGGCCAGAAATTTCATGCAATATTTCAGAGCATGAAGAACCACTGATCTAGATCAGAGTCAAAAACTAAAATGCTTGTCAATGTTGTGCAGTCAACATACACTCATGCAGCAGGCTAGGTTCACGACTGCTTTAATGCATAACATCTACCTAACTACACTATATATTAGAATATTTGTAGGTGACAGAGGACAATGCAGAATGGTGAATGGGAGATTAAAAAAAGAAAAAGAAAAAAAATAAGAAAAGAGATTTTTTTAAAACTCAAATAACAAAGATACAGTAATATCCTTTAATATGGGATAATTTCCCTTTTCCTAACAAAGTAGGAATGGAGAATAAAGTATGGAAACCCACCTTTTTTTTTTCAACAATTAAGCACAGCACTTTCATTTCATGACTTTAAATTCAGTACTATATTCACAAATATTTTTATGCCAATTGTATAACTGATATACCATAGCCCTCTCTCTTAAATAATTATAAAATACTTTGCAACCACAGACTTATTTGCTTATGTGATAAAAATATAAACAGAAGAGCTCCTACTGTAAGAAGACAGAACTTAAATAAATTATCTGGGTCACTCACCTCATTAAAACTATCCCAGAGATCATCACTTTGAATAGATGCATAGCTATGATTATGCAGGTAAAGAATGATAGCATGTTGAAATACATCTTCACTAAGATAAGTTTTCAGCATCAACAAGAGGGAAGCTCCCTATTTTCAAAAATAAACAAAAAAGTGAGGAAAAAGGAAGAAAACAATAGAATATTATAGGCAACAGAACCAAAAATCGAATATTCAAAACATTCTGAACATGTACTTTTACATGTTCAATGTAGTTATACTATCTCATAGCTAGATGTGGATTATATTCAAATGTCTTAAACTTATTTTAAGGAATTTGAAAAAGAATTAATGGAGTTACATATTCATGTGTACTATTTTTTCCATGAGCCATTCTATGTGGTCTATCAGCACACTTACTGTTTCAGTATTAGTGTTGAAATGCTGTTTTCATATTTTAATAGAAGAGCATGCTCAATTTTATGTGGCATCCCTATGTCCATCCCCAATTCTTGAAGTGCCAGCTCCATTTGTGAGCATATACTGCTACAGACACAATGAATCAGCAGAATTCCCAAAAGCCTGTCTTCTAGGTAGTGTATTACTTTCTAATTTTAGTATGCCATGTTGCTGAAGTAGCCAGAATCTCTCTTCTTCCTACAGAGTCACTTCAAATATGTACAGAGCAGCAAGCATACACTGATAATTCATAACCAGCCATGCAACTATTAAGACCACACTATATTCACTCATGCACACATCATCATTCTGGCTCCACCTCCTTTGTAAAGCCTTTCCTTATTTGAAATAGTAATCATTTCTGTCCATCTTCAATAGCAATTTATATTACTTTCTGTATTGGTTATATATTTATTTCCTCTTTTAAGCTGCACACCAGTTGGGGGAATAATTTTAAAAAACTCAACTATAGTAATTAAAACAGAACCTCAATGCCCAGTAATAGGCACTAATATTTTTTGAATGACTTTCACTTCTGATAAAAATATAACAGTATTAATTCATTAAGATTATCAGTACAGGGGCTGGGGCTGTAACTCAGTGGTAGAATGCTTGCCTAGCATGTGTGAGACACTGGGTTCAATCCTTAGCACCACATAAAAATAAACAAAAATAAATGCAATGCTGTCCATCAGCAAATATAAAATAAAAGATTATCAGTACATATAAATTTAATGCCCTACATTTTATACATATTATTTTTTCTATAAATTTAAGTACCCATTCTTGTTCCAAAACAATTCCCCTTTTGTCCTATATCACCACCTTTCCTCTCTGTACTGTAGCATTACCATTAACAAAATAAAAACTATTTAGCATTCCTAATTTTAAACAAATTTTAAAAATCCCTACCTTTCCTTAATTTCACTCTCTCTCCAGTTATCACTGCATTTCATGCCCCTTCTCTTTTTATAGTAAGACTCTTCAAAAATGTGGTCTGCATTTTCTTTTGAGCCCTCTGCTAGCTGTCACTTCACTGGCAGTGCTCTTATCAAGGTCACTATTAAACTCTCTGGTACCAAACCAAAGTCCATTCTCAGACTCACTTATCAACCGACTGGCAGTATTCCTTGAAAGTCTTTATGCACTTGGCCTTGTGATTTCACTCTTGACTTTCTCCCTATTCCCTGGCATCATACTTAGTCTACTTTGCTGGATCCTTCTCATCATCCCAGTGAGTAAATTTTGGTGTATATCCTGGCATTTTCTCTTTAAATCTCTTTTCTTCTCTACCTATTTGCTTCTTAGTTGATCTTCTCAACTTCAGGGGTTTTAAATGACTCTGTAATTCACATATATACAACCATATTTCCTCTCTGAATCCCAGATTCATCAAACAGCCAGTTTGGTCCATTTGTATATCTAAGGTGCATCTCATACTGAAAAACTAAACTATTTTTTTTCCTTCTTTCACCAGTTCTACTCCTCCTGTGGTCTTCTCCACTTTAGCAAATGGCAAATACATTTTTTTCCAGCTGTTTGGATAAAAACCTTGTTTTTAACTCTTCTCTTATATTCCACATCTAATCCATTAGCAAATTCTACTGGATCAACTTGTACAAATATTTCAAGTCCAACCATATCTCATCACCTTCACTACTGCCACCTTAGTCCTACTACAACAACTTCCTAACTAGTACTCCTGATTCCATGTGCTATTGAAGACTAGAACAATCTTTTACAAATAAAATCTATCATGATTTTTCCTGGATCCTTTTATTTCACTTAGAATAAAACCAAGATTCTTGCCATGGCCTCCTTTTAGACTCTACAATGATCTGATCTCTTATAATTCTTCTGATTTCACTTCTACTTTTCTTTCCTCTTCTTCTACTCCAGATATATTGGCTCCTTGCAGGTGCTTGAACATGGAAAGCAATCTCTCATCTCAAGTTGTATGGGACTCCCCAAGACCAGTCCCAGGTTTGATGATGCACTAGGAGGACTCAGAAAACAAAGCTGACAGTCATACTCATGCTATAATTTATTACAGTAAAAGGTTACAAAATAAAATCAGCTAAGGGAAAAGTTGCATGGGATAGAGTCAAGAGAAAACTAGGTTCAAACCTTCAGGAGCCCTCTCCCAGGGCAATCATACAGGATATATTTATTCCCTCCAGCAAGACAGGATAACATATGTGAAATATTTTCTACCAGGAATGCTCATTAGTGACTCAGCACCCAAGATACTATCTGTAGAGGTGTCCTCTACCTGGCATATATCAAAATTCCAGACTCAAGGAAAGGCAAGAATGTTTAGCATAAACAACATTGTTGGTACAACTGAGGGCACATGGAATGATAAAAACTTTTTCAAAATCCAGATTCCCAGATGCCAGCCAAAGGCCGGTCTTGCAAGCAGATTTTTCAAAGGATAGCAGTCTCATTCCCGCAACACTAACTCTTCTCTGTACACAAACTCTATACATTGTTTACTTCTGCTTGATACATTCTTCCCCTCAAAATTCCTCAAATAGTATACAAATACCACCTCTCAAGTGGTTTTCCCCAATTGTGGTATGTAGACCAACATTTGCTTTGTTACTCTCATTTCCTTACATGTTTTATTTCTGGTATCATAACACCTATTTATTCATTCATCTGAATAGTGTCTGTCTCGATATTTGACCCCTGAAATGGAAGCTTCACAGAAGTTAGTCTAGCTTGTTTCCTGTGGTATCCCCAGAACCCAGAACAAGAGCTGGTGTAAGGTTGGCACTTGTAAAACTTGCTGCATGAATGAATCCTCATAAGATACCTCCATTAGTACCTGGGTTTGATGATTATAAGAACAAACAGAACATGTTTGTCAAACACATTCCCTACTGTCATTTACTTTTTCTTACACAAAATATTGATAATTACTCAGTTTCCTGCTTTTCTCAATGATGGGAGATATTTGCCAGATTTTCAATTCTGAAACAAGTAGTTACCATATCAATAGAGGTTAAATATGCTGTGGAAACAACATGACCAGGAGATAATGAATTCTGGATTTGAAAGGAAGGTACTGGAGACAGACAGAGCTCTGTCAATACATCCTAAAACAACTGCTCTGTTTAAGTTCTATATTAAAGGTAGTATGTTCTATACAACATCAGAACCACAAGTTTAAAATTTTTCCTTATTGAAAGTTCCAGAATAGGTTTTAAAAATTACTGCAGTAAGGCTGGGGATATAGCTCAGCTGGTAAAGTACTTGTCTCGCCTGCACAAGGCCCTGGGTTCAATCCCCAGCATCACACACACACACACACACACACACACACACACACACACAGACACATATCACTGCAGTAGCTCTAACTGAAATACAGTAATTTCCCCTATCCACAAGCGATACTTTCTAAGACCTGCAGAGGATACCTGAAACCGTAGATAGTACCAAACCTTGGGTATACTATGCCTTTTCCAATATATACATAACTATGATAAAGTTTAAATTATAAATTAGGCCTAGTAAGAGATTATCAGCAATAAAAACTAATAATAAAATGAACAATTAGGATAATGATAATATACTGTCAAATAAAACTTATGTGAATGTAATCTGTCAAAATGTCTTATTTTACAGATCTTAGCAACTTCAGCACATAATTTGTTTTCTTTCTATATTAAGTTAAGAAGGTTCATCTTTTCACTTAAAGGAAGCACTATGGTGTCTGTTTTGTACATGTGAATTGCCAGCACCACAACTCTTGTGCATGGGGCCACTATAAAGTAAAATAACGGTTACTTGAACACAAACACTGTGATACTGTGTAGGTGATCTGATAACAAAGATGGGCATTATGTTACTAACAGGTAGCATACATAGTGTGAACACTCTGAACAAATGGATGATTCACACCAGGACAGCATGAGATTTTTTCACATTACTCAGAATGGTGTGCAGTTTACAACTGACAAATTGTTTATTTCTGGAATTTTCCTTTTAATGTTTTTTCAAGCACCATTAACCACAGGTAACTGAAACCATGGAAAGTAAAACTGCAGATAAAGGGAGCCTATTATATATTTAATAAGGCTAATGAAACTCCTGATTTTCTTGTTAGCAGTACTAATCCTCACAGTCAGGCTTGGCTTTGGGAAACATTTTTCTGCCTCCTTCTTTATCTGTATTAACCCGTCACAAAGTCCTTAAGTACTTATCCCAACCCAGTTTTTCATGCCCATTGTTTTCTATTTACTGTTACTACCATACCTTATATATCTTTTACATTACATGCCTAAACTTCAGCAGCAATTTCCTGACTTAAGGGTTCCCCTCACTTAAATCTACTTTATAAACTAAAACCAATTTAATTTTTCTAAACAGTAACTTTAATCAAGTAATTCTTCTGTTCAAAAATCTTCTGAAGCTTTCTACTACATACAGAAAAAACATCCGGACTCCTGATGGCATTCAGGAACTTCTGCAACTGGGCCTTGCTACCTTTCTCATCTTTCTGTACTCCACATGTGGCTTCCACTGCAGTCATATGTTATCCCTAAATAAGCATTTCCTGCCTGACAGTGGTCCCGACTTTTTCTTTGTAAACCCCATTATTTCATTCTTGTCCTACCCTGTTTCTCCCATTCCTGTTAACCAGTATTGTTATTATTTAACTCATTTGAATTCCCATTTTCCTCCAAAGAATCTCTCTTCAGCATCCCAAGTAAAAAGTTTCTGTACCACTTCAGTATACATTATTTCTCTTCCTGGTCCACAAATACTCACCTCCTAAATTTTGAGTTTTTTGATTATATGAATTATAACTTAAGTTTTATGTATTTTCTTCCCTATTTACTGTAGGAATTTATTTATTTATTTATTGTTGTGCCAGGGGTTCTTAACCATTGAACCACATCCCCAGCCCTTTTCATTTTTAAATTTTGAAATAGGGTCTCACCAAGTTCCTTAGGGCCTCACTAAATTATTGAGGCTGGTTTTGAACTCCTGATTCACCTCCCTCAGCCTTTTGAGCTGCTGGGATTACAGGTGTACAGCATTGCATTCAGCTCTATTGCAGGAATTTATTAACTAATTAATTCAAGAGCCAAAATGAGGAGGTAAATAAGCCATAACATTTACCCCTGCCCTCAAAACAATAATGCTGATAGCTTCTTGATTTCTTTGTTCTCTTATAGTGATCCTAATGGGATTCCTAATTTTTTATATTTTCTTCATCCCTGAACCTAGAGCCTGTTTCTTTTTGATCCTGCATTATAATCTTCAATAGTTAAAATGTATTTTTGCTTACTTGTTTTAGTAATCCTAACTTTAGAATATCCCTCAATGCTGAGTAACACAACTCCAGGCTTACTTAGGTCCTTTTCTGAACATGTTCTACTTGCAGATCCGTAGCATAAATCAACTTTGAAAGATGTATTGCTACATAATCTTGGTAACTGCCTGGAGAACTAGTCACAGAACTTTAAAAAGAGACAGATAAAGGAAACCTCATAAAAAGTTAAGACTAAAATTTCAATAGATACAAATGCTAAAAATTTAAACATTTAAAGTTTAGCAGGCTATCTGAAAATAATATTCACTTAATTTTTAAAATAATCTAAATCATGCAACTGGCTGACATTATGAAATTAACTTGAAGCCTACTGCCGTTGCTTTCTTTCTGCGTAGCAATACCTTAAAATAGGAAAGAGAATCAAACATCTCTTCAATTTGTTCTGAAGACTGAACAGATGATGATATTGGATGAGATGAATTCAACGAATCTTTCTTCATGGTTTTAAATCGAGCGTCTAAGAAATCTTCATACTAGTAAAAAATTAAACAGATTAGGATATCATGAATGTATCCAAGGCAAAGGTTAAGTACAGCAGTTATTGATATTATTACTAATTATTACTAAAAGTCATGATGAAAAAACAATTGGCTACGCTAAATTTCAGAATATAAACTTTTGAAAATCCAGAAAGATTATGACCTCAATGCACATCCCTTAAATTTAAAAGTATAATTATAACCTAGTCACAAGAAAATCAGCATTTTCTGAACAGAATACAGATGAGTTAAGAGCCCATTACTAAAGTAAACAAATGCCAAATGTGGGTATCCAAGATAAATATTCTAAAATGGCTAGAGTTAATTTTTAAAATAAAAACTGAAATTAAAAAAAAAACTTGGTCTTTAAGCTGGTTTCTCATAGATAGTACAGGATTTTTAACAAGACAATATACATTTCTCTTAATTGAGAGCCAATTAAAGTAAAATATCTCTTAAACAGTAGGAACTCTTGACAGTTCAGCAGATGAGCTCCCGAAGAATACATATTAGGGGGTTTTCAAAATTCTGGGCACCACCAAGTGGTGAAACTATATATCTCATTGCTTAATTAAATAGGGTATACAAATTCGGAATGCCTTATTTTTCTAGCTAAAAATTAATTCCTTTTATTTGAAAATTTTTAACAAGTCCTAAACAAAAACTTCAGATTGAAAGCTCAAAGAACACTTCTTGCTTTAAAGCAGTCTTGACTCATTTCTCCAGGAAGTTTAACAGAAAGTCACTGAATTTAGGGTTGAAAAAAATATTTACACTTTTCCACTCACAGCTTAAATTATTTTGGCAAAATATCGCACATCATGGCTTAATGTTTTCAAATGTCCCTAAATTCAGAATATCTCCAGAGTCTCCACATTTTGGGGAAATACAAAATATGGTCTGTACCATAAAAGGACAAATTATCTGTATGAAGTTATATATTGCTATTATAAGAATGTATTCATGTAGTGACAACAGAGTGATATAATTACTACAAAATGTCTTAATTTTCTTCTCTCTTTATAGATCAGATAAAAAAGAAAAAACATTTTGCTTTGCAAAAAAGGCTTCTCAACCTTATCTAAATCCCATCAAGTAGAAGAGCCATACATGTTAAAAACAGAATGAGGGAAAGCAATTTAAAATATTCATTTTAATTACAAAAACATATAAACTTACATAATTTCAGTAAAACATATCAATAAAAGTGTAATTTTCATTGTCAAATTTCCAAAAAGGTATGGATATCATTAACAAGGATGAATTTTAGTATAGTTTTCTAGAAACATTTTCATTTCTCCAAATGCAAAGAAAACATAACTTGACTATTTTTCCACTTAGCATTCCAAGTAAGACAAATATTATACTTACACTGGAGAGCTCTTTGAATACTTTTTCCAAAGAAAAATACTCCATGAAAGTGGCGAAACCTTCATTTAGCCATAGGTCATTCCACCACTGCATTGTTACCAGATTACCAAACCACTGTGGGAAAAACAAAGTCCCAACCAACATGATAATTACATTCTCAGGAATATTCAAAAAACTGGCTGAACTGTCATATTAACTGTCCATAACCAGATTAAGATATTTTAAAAATATACTGGTATTACAGTTCAAACAAACTATACTTGAATTAATCAGAGATTTGTAAAAGTTGTGTAAATTTCCTTTACAAGTAAAATAAAACTTTTAATATTTTACCTTAACTGAATGGGAAAAAAAGCAAGAAAGAGTACTAATATATTTATTAGTATCTTCATCAATTTTAAAAACGGGCTATATAACATACCAAATAGGGATATAAAAACTTTTTTAGCTACCTCATGGAAATGAGGTTTCCTAGATAATGAAACTGACTTTCTAATATTAAGTTAATAGTATTATTTTCCATTATATCTACAACCATGCAGGTTAACTAAGAAAGTTTCTTTCTATGTGAGAGCTTTTCCTATCGTCAGGGGGTCCATGCTTTAGGTTTCTCCTCAATTGGCCAAGTCAGAGACAGCATTTGCATGATTCAAACCTGAATTCAAACAACATTCTTTAAGAAAGTTGCCATTTATATAAACAGATGAAATTGGGAACATCTTTAAACGTTTTCTTCTATGTGGTAATAAAAAGAAAGAAAAAAATAATGAGACTCCCCTAAAAAAAGTATGTTAAAAATCTTTGAAATAAAAAGTGGTTGTAGGGTGTGCAATTTAGCTAAGGTAGCCTATGATTTATTTAAAATTAGCAGCAAAAATCAAGTTGCAAGATACTAAAACAAAACACTTTATAGAATTATAACAGAAAATTTTCTAAGACTTATGCTAAACCCTGTTTCACTGGAAGATGTTTTATAAGTCCTAAAGAAGAAATAAGAGAGAAATACTCCCCAAGTGGCAATGGCTAGCCCTGGAAATAATAGATGTAGAAGAATCCACAAAGACACCTTTTATCTATGGCCCATTTATAACAGTGAATAAATGCTTCATATTCCAGCTTGCCAAGAAGTCTTCACGAGGGCTACCAAGTCCTACACAGATGTGTAGGTAGACAGTAAGCAGACCAATTCCTTTCCTGGTCTTCCTCCACAAGGGGCCCCTCATGACACCCTGAACCATACACAACCCTGGCAAGGACTTCACATCCACAGCCCAGCAGAGACAAAGTATTGAAGAAGAGGGCACGTTGTATACTCATAAAATTTTCTTTCTTTTTCTCTGTGTCATACAGAGATGCCTTCACACTTTACTCAGAACCTCTCTCTCCTACATTAACACAGAACCCCATTCTAGTAGAAGAAAAAAAATTAAATCTAGTCCTAACTGTGGATTTAAGAGTTGTCAGAGAAAGCGCAATTTAGGGAACCCACCTACAAAAAGTTACACTGAGAAGCTATAAATTGTTAGAGAAAAAGGATCTCAAAGAGATAGTGACTTCAAGCCCAAATGCTACTACTTATTAGCCATGTGACTTTGGGCAAATCACTTATTTAAGCAGATTCTCAAGTTTCTTCATCTGTAAAATGAGATTATTACCAATCTTAAGGTATTATAATGCTTTAAACATCCTATACAAACAAAAACATTTTCATTTGGAAATTAAATTTGTGCTAAAAAGTGCCTTTTTATTATAAGAGAAGGTAATTTTTTTAAAAAAAGCTGAATAATTAGTAACATCTACATGTACTCTAAAGCTCTAGTATACGAAGTAGACACAATTATAAGATATAAGAGCACTGGATGTTAATACCTGATGGGCCAGCTCATGAGCAATGATTTTAGTGACCAGTTTTCTATCTGTCACCGAAGAAGTATTATTGTCATACAGGAGAGTCTCTTCTCGGAAGGTTATCAAACCCCAGTTTTCCATTGCTCCTGCTTCAAAATCAGGAATGGCCACCAAATCTAGAGATAACAGGGAAAAAAGTTATCAACTTTTCCTCACATAAGGCACACCCCCTAATTAAAACAAAATATGTTATCCATTGGCTTATCAGAAGACAGTGAGTTATTTTTATACTCCTTAGAAAGTGGAACCATCCTTATTCCTTTTTTTTTTTTTGGTACAGGGATTGAATTCAGGGATACTCAACTACTGAGCCACATCCCCAGCCCTATTTTATTTAGAGACAGGGTCTCACTGAGTTGGCTCAGTGCCTTACCCTTGCTGAGGCTGACTCTGAACTCCTGATCCTCCTGCTTCAGACTCCTGAGCCACTGGGATTACAGGCATGCCATCCTTATTCTTGCTCTCCATACTCCTTAACTAGTTGTCAGCTGAGAAAGATTTGACCTCCTTTCAGGTGACTCACTGTCCCTTACCAAAGGAAAAAAAAAATGCCTCCACAACCAATCAGCTTTCTAGAGCAAGAGGAACAAAATTCAGGGCCCATCCATATTGAGCTCTCTAGGAACAGTTCTACATTGAAAAGTACTAAAATCCTCTTACTCTCCTGATTTCCCATTATGCAGTTTTTGTTATTTGAATTACAAAATTTCTTGGAAGTCAGTCAAATTTCAGACTAAGCCCTTAAGCTAATCGCACTTACATAGTACCTTTGCGATAGCCCCATAACTTATAAGTGTTTTAAGCTCCAAGTTATTTATATTCATAGAATGTAAATAATTTAATAATTATAATTTTTAAAGCATTAACAATGTTTCTGAGCTTTTAAAAGTAACTTTAGTAAAAACTATCTCTAAAAAACATTTGCAATACAAATCTTTATTACAATTGCAGTAAAAATCAGAAGTGTGGTGATTCTTACCCAATTTTTTAAGTGGATATTGAATTTCAAAATAGTTTTGATAAAACTCAAGAAGCTTCACAGTTGTTTCCAAGGCATGGTGAACTTGACCAATCTTTTCTGGCACAGTGTATATCGAAACCTAAAGGGAAACATTATATGTGATATAAGGAGAGATACAATTAAAATGCCACAATATTCAGGTGAGCACTGTCAGGACTGGCATACCTAAGAAATACAGAGTTGTATGAGATACTTTAGGACAGAAACTCTTGCTTACAATTCTTTTAGTCCCCATAGAGTTTAGTAAATCCCTTTCATATATACAACAATGTTCAAAAAATACCTTACTAATTCCTTTTCTTTTTGAAACTCTCATAACATCCCAAATAAATTAGGTTTGGTCATTTTATAGTAGTTTATAAGCACTTGCCCATTAAATTTGTTGATATTTGTCTTCTCCCATTACTTGCAGTTCTTTCTTTACTTACAAACTATGAAGAGCCTTAGATTTCAGTTTCATTTACATTCACATCATATGTATATAACTTTTATCTTTTCATCACCTATCATAGAGACTGACATCTAGCAAGCACTAAATACAGAGGAGTCACATATTGCTAGTAGAGTTAACTCTCAAGTTTACATACAAAATAGAAATGGCAGATTTACTGAAATTATATTGTAGAAAACTGATTATAAATCAAAATATTCTCTTCAAAAGTATGGCCACAATTTTTCTTTCAGTCTAGGACAACTTATTCTTTGCTTTTTTTCATTTGGGGCTTGTTTTTATGTCCCATTTTTTATATTTATATATAAATCATGTAAAACACATTTTGATGGCACACAGTAAGTGAAAACAACTAAGAGAATAACAGTTCATGTGTCTCATTGCCCATTCACTGCAGGACATGTGCTAAGTGGGAAAGAAGACAGAATCACCTGTATTATCTAAATGGGTATTTTCTCTTTTATGGGTTAAATGTTAAGTTAAATACATACGATGTGACTGTCAATGAAACTGAAATCTGATGAAAGGGTTCATTTATTCCCATTTCCAGAATAAAATGATCATAAAAAGAAGGTACTTTGGTATTTTCTCTTCCTTTTTACTTCTTTTTCTTTTCCTTAAAAGAACATAGCTAAGAGTTCTTACTAGAAATAAATCATCTCATCATTATAATTATTATCAAGCTTAATCTAAGAACAACAGAAGTAGTAAAAAATAAACAAAGGGGCCAGGGTTGTGGCTCAGCAGTAGAGTGCTCAACTAGCATGTGTGAGGTTCTGGGTTCGATCCTCAGCACTACATATAAATAAATAAAATAAAGATGTTGTGCCCACCTATAACTAAAAACAAAATTTAAAAAATAAAATAAAAAATAAACAGAGCAATCTATCTTAGCAAAGAAAGTCTTGAATAGAATTCTTGCCTTTGTAAGAGAATTCTAAACATTGTTGAATGGGGGCTGAGGGTGTGGCTCTGTGGCGGAGACAGATTTAACATGCCTGAGATTTAGTGTTGCTCCCCAACACATAAAACAACTCCCCCCCCAAAAAAAAAAACATTGTTAAATGGAAATCAACTGAGACTCAGGTCTCAAGACTTACAACTTAAAACTTCTTGCCCAACATCTTACAAGGACCTTATGGGAGATTTCTGAAAACACAACTATAAATATCCTTGATCAGCTCCCAAAGAAAAGGATTCTTTAAGATTGAGGAATAAAAGATTTGTTAGGTTCAATTTATCAGTTTTTAAATTATTAAAAATGAACATTAGTTAACAAAAGCAAAAGCAGAATCAAGTTTCAGCCCCACCCTCCACCAAAACAATACTATGGACTGCAAGTTGTATAGGGACAGAAAATATTAGAGGTTTCATACTAAATTTTCTGAAAAATGCTGACTTTCCCAAACAAATAACTGAACAACAAAAAAGCAAACATTCCTAAAATAAACAAACAGAAATAAGTCCATTCAAAATGATTGATTAGATGGGAAAGAATAATATGAATTGTGCATAATGTCCCAGGCTGGTGGAAAGACACTTGAGGTAGAAAAGTTTTTTGAGGAAATTTTGAACAGAGTCATGTTTCTATGAATATTAAAATTCTAACCACATGGATAAAACAGTTGAAGATTCTTTTAAATGTGGAGAGACACCACATGAGACTAATCATGATTAAATTTTGCTTCCAGCAATTAGTCCTGTATACAATAAAAATGAAGGCAGGCAGTGCAGTGGCAAAAAACAAAACAAAACAAAAACCTCAAGACAAACAAATAAAACAGTACATTTACAACTGGCCTAGAATTTTACAGGTAATTCTGGCATTCCTAAAAGCAGGGAGAGATTTAAGGAATGAAGAATGAATAGAAATAACAAATATTCTTTTTCAAGCCTCTGACACAGTCTTTATTATTACAGGTCACATGTAATAATCTACAGTCAACCGTGACTTTTTAGTTGCTTGGTAAGATTCACATTAATAAGAAAATCCCTATTGCCTTAATCCTTGACCTTGTTAAATTGAACTTGTGTCAAATATTATAAAATAGAAGGCAGTCTAAAGATTACAACATTTTAGCATAACAAAAATCCTTTGCTACATTCCAAGTTTTGAATAGTTCTGGTCACTATGTCTACATTTATTATTCATGTAATTTGGTATAAGACACAACATAGCTACTGGATAGTAAAATTTTGACTATAACTTGATATGCCATTTCAGGTCAATCTAACCTCTATGATTTCCTCATCAGTCACATGGATCTAATGCTTCATCCTCAGTCAACATATAAAATTAAAAAAAATGTTTATAAACAAGTGCCCACAATTAACATACAGAATTATTCCACATGTTACATTCTTCCATATTTCCTAAAAAAACAGAATAAATTAATAAAATTATTGTTTATTTATTAATGTTAATTCTTAAAAAACACATTTACTACTGGGTAGCACTAAAAATGAGAATATTTATATCTCATGCAAAAGATTTTACATATGATAAAAATAAAATGTACACTATTTATATATATTATATCTATAATAAATGGTCGTGTGTGTGTGTGTGTGTGTGTGTGTGTGTGTGTAATATTAGAATTGTAAAAGGTGATGTTCAGAGGATTAGAATGTAGTCTTCTTAAGGGTTAAAAGTTATTAAAGTGCATAAGAGGGATTTTAATCCAGGAAGACCCCAGGGTTCATATTTAACCACCATGTTTCTTCCTATTCCAAGCAAAAGGAAAAAAAATCCAACTTATACCTTATATTCTTCTCTCTCAATCTCTTTCTTTCTACACACACACACAAAAATGAGGCATATATGTATGTTATGAATAATTTATCTTGGCTGTATGGGAGAATTAACATTGGAGCAACTGGAAAGATAGTTGAGCTTTGTAAGGGGAGCCTTGAATATCAGAATATCAGAATGATGAATTTGAAATGTCATCTTACAGGTAGTAAGAAGCCAACATAGAAGATGAAAGGCGAGGCAAGAATGGAAGTAGGGAAGGAGGGAGGGAAATGGGGGTTTTAAAAGAGCTTTTTATTCTTCTTTATTTTATGTGAAAATATTCACTTTATTAGGTCTCTGCTATAAAATCAGAGTATGAAAATATAATCAAATAATCATTTAAAAATGGGTATTAATGACAAAGAAAAACAGAATTACTTTACTAGAATGAATTTTGGCAAAATGTAGATAAATCAGACCGTTAAAAATCTTACTCATTTTCTATGAATAAACTCAATAAGGATTTGCTTTTCTTCTTTCATTCTTTCTTTTTTAAATGTTTTTATTAATGCATTATAGACACATAATAACACAGTTCATTTTGAAAAAATTGAATATGGAATATAACTTCTTTCACTTCAGACCCTATTACTTCCTCTTTCCCTCTCCTCCTCAACTATTTATTTATAGTTCTTTTTAAATTAGAGCTTTATAGATATACATAAAGGTGAAATTCACTGTGGTATTTTCATAGATGTACATAGCATAGTTTGGTCAATTTCATTCTACAGTTCCTCCCTTTTCCCATCTATCCTTCTCCCTTAGTCCCCCCTTCCTGTGCTCCACTGATCTCCCTTCTATTTTCATGAGATTTTCTACCCTTGCCTTTCCCCCCTTATTTTGGTTTAACTTCCACATGTGAGAGAAAACATTCAACCCTTGACTTTTGGGGTCTGGCTTATTTCACTTAGAATAATGTTCTCCAGTTCCATCCATTTACCAGCAAATGCCATAATCTCATTTATGGCTGTTGATGGTACCTGGGCTGGTTCCATAACTTGGTTACTGTGAATTGCACTGTTATAAACACTAATGTACCTGTATCACTATAATATGCTGATTTTACACCTTATGGAAAAACACCAAGAAGTGGGATAGCTGGGCCATATCCATTCCTAGTTTTTTGGGGCCTCTCCATATTGCTTACTAGAGTGGTTGTACTAATTTGCAGTTCCACCAACAATGTATGAGTGTATCTTTCCCTCCCCCCATCCTTGCCAGCATTTATTATTTTTTGTATTCTTAATAATTGCTATTATAATGAGTGGGAGGTGTTTGTTTTGTTTTTTGTTTTTATGTTGGGGCTGAGCCCCACTGACCAATAAAAACCTGGATCCCAGGGTTTGCTTTTTTAAAAAACCAGCATCTGTCTAATCATTTCAATCTACGCAATATGGTAGCCACAGGAACACTACTATAATACTTGAAATGTAGCAAATAAAACTGAGAAAATGGATTTTAAATTTATTTAACTTTAATTTACATCTAAATAATTATATAAGCCTAGTGACCACTATATTGTACAGTTCTAGAAACTTTAGTAATGATGTTTTACTAGATTTCTCTTATAAATGAAGAAACCTGAAAATTATTTACTTTCAGTTATTAAACCAATAGTAGAATTAATAATAAGTAAAACAATATTTGTGGTATAAAATGTCTGAGCATGATCTAAAAGCTTGCTTCTCTTCATAAGACCACCACAAGAAATCAATAAAGCCAGAATTCCTCTTAACCCACTCTGAAACAGGCTTTTGGACAATTACCACATCAACATACCAGGGTTCCATTTACATCCTGACTCAGGTTCTTCATCTCTCCCACAATGAAAGCAACCAGGTAAGTACTCATCTTCACACTCTCACAAAACTCATCCTGAACAAGTCCATCTTCCATAAGGACTGATGACTTCTACAGGCAAAGAGAAAAGATGACAGTTCTGTAACTGCAGGAATGAATTACATGACAATAAGACACTGAGAAACTGAACATTCATATAGGAATATAGGAAATAAGAAGTGAAGATACTAGCATATTTTAATCTCAGCATGAGTTTCCAGTTTCCTTAGTCTCAGTTTGTTCTACCATCCTTCGTAGTGAGGACATACTGAGTACAGCAAAATCCATGAATTTTTAGCTCCAAGATGGCTTTAAATAAATATAAGTAGTTGTTTTTCATCTTTAAAACTTCATTAAAACACAAATCTTTCTATACAACCTAGGAGGGTTCCACTTTACTGCTATAAATACATCCATAGAAGCAGAAACTACATCTGGGATATCCCTTGAATGATGTAAAAGGCTTTGTAGAGTTCCATGTTGAAGACTCCTATGAAGACTTAGTGGGCTGGAAGATGGTAAGTCACAAATCCTGCAACTGCAGGATTTCCCAACCATGATACTAAGCAAGTTGGCATCCACCTCTTACAGAAAAAGACTAAGGTGGGGAGTATGGCTCGAAGTGGAGCTGTTGGAGTACAGTCTTAGTTAAGGACAGACCATGTTGGCTGCTGCCTAGAGGGGTGGGCTCCATGACTTGCTGGGTATGGCTGCTCCTCTCCACTAGCCACATGGGTTCCAGGAGGCTTCTATCAGGCCGCACACAGTCCCTCAGGTGTCTGAGACAACCAATGACCTCATGATTCTATTTAGAACTACTCTAATTGATTTCACCCCACTGCTTCAAGAAAGAGGCTCCTATTCTTGTTGTTGACCTCCAAATTACAAGGATGTCAATTTTTTCTTTACTGGTAAAATTATAAGAACAATTTTGATTAAATAAAATCAAATAACACTGTTTTGAATAGCAAATTCACTGTCTCTGATCTTGTACTACTTCACACTATTAATACCAGCACAACTTCAGTACACTTTGCATTTCCTACACCTACTTTTTAGGTCCAGTAGATCTTTCTCTTTCAAGTGCTCTACAGGCTGACTTCCCAACTGATTCCAACTAATATCTATATTCAAACTTATTTAAGTATTTTAAGTAATTCAAGTGTGTTTACAGAAAGAGAGCAAAATCTTTCATTCAAGGAACACACAGTACCTTAGGCATATTTGATAAAGCAGTGTATTGCTCATCCCTTATGATCCTGATGATAAATGTGGCCTTAAATGCTGGTTCATCAAAGCAAGGAAAAGCAGATCTTGCTGCCAAGGGTTCAAACTGAGTTGCTGCAAAGTACCTAAAACAAATGCAAATTCAGTCCAAAAGTTATTGACCACCTACTATACAAAGGCATCCTGCCAAGTACTAGGGTTGTTAAGATAAATATGGTACAATCCAGTCCCTAAAGGACCCACAGTCAACTAGGAGAGGTAGAGGTTTATACAATACACAGAGGTATATCAAGTTGTAAATCATGTCCTGGCAGTAAAAAAAAAAGCAGTGGGACAAGGGGTAGGAAACAAATTCTGACTAGTAGCTAAAGACACTGTAAGGAAACTGGTACAAAGTCTGAAGAGGGCCTTAAAACATGGATATTTGAGCAGGCAGAAAATGGAAGAGAGTAGACTAAAGGAAGAGTGGGCAGCACAAGGAAAGAGAACAAGATATGTCCATTGCCTGGGGAAGCTGCTGAGTGTAGTTAGAAATGAAGCCAGGAAGGTAGGCTGCAGCTGGCCATGGAGGTCTTGGACAGGTGTCTGATGGAAGATCAATATGAAGGGTTGTCATTAATTGCCACTAATCTTTTGTACAGACTTTGGCTTCACTGTGAACTTCAAGTTCACAGATTACATCCTGATCAAGTCTGAAAAATCTAGCTGTCCTGTAGTATTATGGTTTCCTTTAGTCTCAGAGATGAATCAAAAATTTCCTCCCTCCCACACAGTAGCAACTATTAAGGCTATGACACATATAAAGTCCTCAATTATAGGCTGGGAGGAAAGTATAAAAAGACACAAGGGGGAAAATGAAGATTTCCAATTAGGTAGAGAAATAAAACAAATCTCCATTTGGGAGATTATCCAAATGGCCATAAAACAATCAGGGCAAGTATGCCCCTGTGGTGCATTCCCAGGCCATAAGGCATATTTACAGCCACTGTGTAGCAACCTTTCTTGTTTGGGGTTTAGTTTTCACTGTCAGATGATAAGTAAAAAAGGAACAGTGTGGAAAGCGGAGTCTGAAGACCCAAACTCTACAATTTCTCAGCTATGTAACTTTGGGCAAATCAGTGACAGGATTCCCTTCCAAACACCCAAGGTATTTGAGAGAATTACATAAGACTAATCATAATAAAAACTATTTATATGCCACAAAGTCCTATATTAATATTTATTAAAAATACTAGATCACCACAATTCTTCTTCCACACTTAAATTTACTGTATTTTTTTCTTGGTAAGCGTATGCCCAAATGACTGTTTCTAATTGGGTAAGCTGCAAAAAAGATAGCAATCAACATATGTGAAACAATATAAACATATCAGTGTTCTAACATTCTGTTTCTTTACCCTGCCCCCAATGTTCTTACCTAGTTAACAGAAGGACCACAAGGGACCAGGGAATAAAGTTTTATGTTATCTCTACTACTATTTAGACAGGAGCCTACTTATGGATTAAAATTAAATCATAACACTCTAAGACAAATAAAACCTTAGGTTACTATTAAAAGAGATGGAATTATAACTATCTCATACAAATGTCTCTTTGAGAAAGCTGCTTCTTAATGATATTATAATCTGTTCTATATAGGCTGAATACTTTGAAGCACATTCTTTTATTGGTGACTATGTTTGCTTTCAGAAAGTTAGTTTCAGAGCTTCCTCAAGTAATGCTCAAGACAATTAACAAATTAGGTGGTGGTCAGGTAAGAGAATTCTAAGTACTAGGGATAACAATGTGCAAAGGAGGTATACACTAGGGAAGCAATATATCACAGTGGCTAAGAATGTCCCTCTGTCATTCAAATGACATTGGTTTTTAGTTCCCACTCTGCCATCTGCTAGCCATAGATGTCAAATGAGTTGCTTTATGTGCCTCATTTTCTTCAGTTATACAATGAATATGCTAATATCTACTTCTTAGTGGGGTTGAAAGGATAAGAGGATAAGGGGATAATGCAACAGTTTCTGCACTTCAGCTCCCAGTAAATATTGGCTTTTATTTCATTGGATTTTCAGGAAAGTACACACGAAGTTTAATATAACAGGTAAGAGCTGTGAGGAAAACAAGGGCCAGAAATGAAAGGCCTTGAACTAAACCACTTTAGAAATGAGGAACTGCTGAAGGATTATAAGCCAAAGATCAGGATGGTCATCTAAATTTATAGGAACAAATACAGAAATATGAGTAAGCATAGGAACAAATCAACATCAGTATGAAAAAATGGAGGCTGTGGGGAAGATTGTAGTAATTTAACAGATCAAGAGATCTGTTAAGAGGATGCTTCAAGAGTTCAAGAAAAAGACTGAAGGATGAAGAAACAAACAAAATAACTTCCATCTTAAATTTGTCTGCTAGTTCTTTTAGTATCATTTTGTCACCTAGAATCTTAAGTCTGTCATCAACAATTTCTGTTTAACTTCAAGGTTACTACTCACTGTCCCATACTTAGAGCACACAGGTAGTTTCCTTACCACACATAGTGGCCATACATGGTGTTACATACGTGCTGATTTTCTAATCAAGGAATATATATCTTAATTACTTTATATACTAGTTTAAATATTTTTTTCTAATTATACATCAAAGAGAATAAAGTATAAAAACTTTTCCAGTAGAACTAAGCATAATCAACAGTGAAAGAAAAAGAAAAACTGCTCAAAATTATAAGTAAAATGTATAAATAATAAAATATTAAAAGGTATAAATAATCTTCTAAACTTGTACCTTTACCAAGATATCATGTAGGGCCTTCATTACTCTAACAGGTATGCTAATGAACCTACATTTTTATAATAGTGGTTTCAGAGCTTCTTCAAGTAATGCTCAAAACAATTAACAAATTAGGTGGTGGTCAGGTAAGAGAATTCTAAGCGCTAGGGATAACAATGTACAAAGGAGGTGTAAACTAGGGAAGCAATGTATCACAGTGGCTAATTTATTTTAAGACTTTAAAATACTATTTTAATACTGTATTTTTTAATTTTGAGAACCATGTTCCATTTTTCTACCATGTTCGACATGGATTTGTTTATCATTGGATTTTCAGGAAAGTGCACTTGAAGTTCAATACAACCAGTCCATGGTAAGAGTCAATAGTCACACCCAAAATCACCTTACTCTACTACACAACATTCATGCTTCCCATCATATAGTAATAGGCCCAAGGACTCTGAGGCAATGATCTAATCAGATGAGATGGTTAGGGGCTTGCACATTAAGTCATTCTTTTTATGTACATCCTATATTTCTTAGGGATGATGATGACTATAAAAAGGGGACTAAAATCAAGAACTCCAAACTGCCACTTCAATTATAAATTTTTGTTCAATGTCAAATATATGAATTGAAATGTAACACAGAATTGTCATTTATTTTAGAAGTATTATATATAAAGCTGTGAAAGTGGGCACACCTGTAGTCCCAGTGGCTTGGGAGTCTGGGACAGGAGGATTGCAAGTTCAAAGCCATCCTCAGCAAAAACAAGGTACTAAACAACTCAGTGAGACCCTTTCCCAAAATAAAATACAAAATATGGCTGGGGATGTAGCTCAGTGGTCAAATGCCCCTGAGTTCAATCCCTGGTACCCTCCTCTCCCAAAAAAGTATTATATAGAAAGAAAAACTAAAATTACTTACTGAAGAGAAGTACAGATACTGCTTTTCCTGTTTCCTCATTTAAGAAGGATCAAAAGGTTTTCTTAAGATAGGTTTAAAATATTCATTTCTAACTATTTCTCATAATACATCAAGAAACATTAGCCAAATTGCCTGCATCAGTAATTCATATACTGGTACTCCAATTGCATTGAGCACATATGACAAAGACTTTGTGCACATAAGAGAACTGACATAACCATTTATGAATAACCTATATACAGTGTGAAATCTATCTTTTTGGAAATTCCAGCTATATGCTATGAATTAAAGGGAGAAATATATCATCCAAATAAGTAGCTGAATACTTTTGTGCTTTGTCTCACTTTTTTTTAATAAATTGAAACAGAGTTTCTCCTAGACTTTTTAAAAATTTCCATCAGAATCCAATAGTCAAACTAGAATTTTCTTTAAAAAGTAAACCAGTAAAGATAAGGGTACTAAAAATTGCATATATAAGCATACCATGCTTTGTGTCCTCTTTCTCCATCTGACTAAGCATGTGCTAAAAATTCTGCACATAGGTCTTAAAGAATAATCCATTTTCCTTTTTATTCTGCTTCCTATAGAGACTTCATAGGGTGATAGAAAATTAGAATCATAGAATAAGTAGACCATTAATAGCTGAAGATAACTTAGGTTTATGATGCAGAATATAACTGACAAAAACTTTATCCAGCCCCTTCCATCAGCAAACTCCTACCCTGCACCCCACGATGATATATACTCAAAGCTTTGCCGAAGAGTAATGATATATTTTCCCACACCACCACTCTATTGGGCACCTAACTTCTTAAATTAAAAAAAAAAATTCAGTTAATAGGTCTGTTGTGGAAAAGGGATCCATATTGCTGAAGTCATCATACAGCATAGAAAAGGTTACATACTTTTTCTCATTGCTTTCATCTGTATAGTTGACACCATAAAACCCATAATAAGAACTAGATATATTCGCTGAATATTCTATCTTCATGGTATAATTGTGTCCTGCTAGAAGGGCTTCAGGGGCAACAATGGCAATTTGCTCATGATATGGATATTCCAGGATTTCCACTTCTTTTTCTTGACTTGAAAGTGCTGACATAAAAGTCACTCTTGAAATATTATGACCTGTGCTATGAAGAATGATATTCCATGTGGTCTGAAGAGCCAGAACTGAAATTGTCACAGAACCCCTGAGAGTCATTGAGGTTAGGTTTGGGTGTAGGTGAAGTTCATAGCGCTGTGGCATAATGGCAGTGGGAAGCCTAATTTTTGCCCATGGAAATAACTTCCCATTTGTTGCAATTGGCTGAATTAGTTCCATTGACTGATTTTTTTTATGGCAGCCTTCTTTGGTAAAGGTACATCTAGGCAGTAGGTAAATCACCATGATTACAGAGACAGCAACCACAATGACAAAAACACAGACCACCAAGGTCCTTGCAGAGGGTACTGAACAGGCCCCATCTGGACTCTGCCTATAGCCAGCTGCACTGTTCCGAAGGCCTGAGCTTCTGTTCATGAAGGACATGCCCAGTAGTTTTGCAGATGACTCATAATCCTCTTCATCCTCGTCCATCTCATGTTCACCAAGACCTCGCACCAGCAGTCGGGAACCCCGGGGCTCATATTCCACCTCATCAGGCTCTAGAGGATGTAAACAAGGTTCTTTGGCTAAGTCCACCACATCTGGCTCTTCCTCAAACATGCTATTTTCAATCATATTCCTGGGGAGCTGAAGTCGATCTAAAAATCCAAACATAAGGACAGGCATAGAGTTAAGGAACAAAGTTTATAGTATGATGTTTTCTAGCAAAAACACTTAATGTAAGATATTTTTAACTTACTAAGACTTATTTCTATCTCAGAGCTACTGAATTAAATAAGATGTTTGTGACCTCCTTGAGTCATTAATTAAAAACCACACATAAATAAAACATTCCACAGTATAAAGTAAATAAATAAATAGGCTAAAATTAAAAAAAAATACAACTGAGATTACAGATTAATTTTCTTCATATATTCCTACCCAACAACCTGGGCTCCTGCTCCAGGCTTTAGAGTGGCTGCTTTGGCCTGCCTGGTTGTGTCTATCCCCACAGGGCCAGGAGTCAACAGGATCAAAGGGACGTACCCACCCCTACAGTCCATGCCCTTCTTCTGGGGTTTGAACACCTGGACCCCAGAATTCCTGCCCCAAAAACGTTGAGTCTCCTTTCAGGGTCTTTGTTTCTCTCTTCCCTCCCTGAGTTTCAATCCTCCTGGGGAGTAACACAAACTGGTCACCCTATTTCTAGACTCCAGTGGTGAACAGGATGGACTATTGTCCTCTGCCCCCCAGAAGAGGGCTGCTATTGTCCCATACCAAACTGAAAATAGCAAGTTATATGGAAAATTTTCATAAGCAAGAAGTAATACAAATTATATGACAAAAATCTCTAAATATCAGATAAAACTACAATTCAACCTGTTTTCCACACTTGTATAAACATTCAGAAGTACAAAATACTCCCATCTGCAAGAGCCACACTACACCATGAGTATTAGTGAGTCTTGGGGTAGGAAAGTAGTGGAAGCTTTCAAAAACTACAAAGAACACTCTCTCCAATTTGCCAAGAATCACTGAGAAAAGTGATACCCTTCAAAAAGAAGAAGGGTAAATAACCATCATATATCAATACTTTTTAGGATTAGACCATTCACTGTACTTTATTTTAAAATCATAAAATTTCAGCTTTTAAGAAGTTATCAAATTGAATCATCCTTTCCCTACAAGGCACTTATACATATCATTTCTAGGACTAACAACAATTATATGAAGTGGCAAGCATTTTATTTCAGACATGAGAAAACAGAGAACAGAAATGGGTTGATTTATTTTCATAGATATATAGTGATTTAGTCATAATACTAATATTTGAGCCCAAGTTTAAAAATTATGATTTCAAATTTTATTATAATGCATCCTGCTACTCAATTCAATAAAAGGTGACAACTTAGTAACTAAACAAGGTCAACTCATAGTTAATGAAATGAAGTACTGATAAATATCAGGGTAAAATTTTGCTACTCAGAGCATGATATACAGACCAGCAGCAGCCACATCATATTTTACCTTGTTAAGAAAAGCACATTCTCACGTCCCCTCCCTGGATGTTGCCAGTGCATGCTATCCTTCATGCATCTTTTTTCCTCTGCTCCTTCTGCCTAGATATCATTTCTCCTTGCTACCCCAGTTCACCTAGTGAACACCTGTTATTGCATAACTCAGCTTAACTTGCTAGAATATAAATGAAGTATTGTTTATTTTCCCTTTTTCTTTATTACTTTTCAAAAACAAATTTTCTTTTCCTTTTTACCTTATCCATTTCTGCTTTGTGGAGTATCAGTGAGAGTGCCTTTTCTTATCTATTCTCCATCATGAACTTTGTAAAGGAAATACTATTTTAAAGTTTTCTTTGAAAAAAATTTAATCATTTTCTAGCTGTGGATTTGTGCCATATCCTGTGAGTGGTCTAAAACTGGAAGGGGGTTACAACACCCCACTTCTGAGAATAATCTTCTAAGCTTCCAACAATTTTCAGCTTCTTATGACAAAGTTTATTTTCCTTGATAATTTAGTTGATTTGGGGTCATTTACTTAATTAATAGAGCAAATAACTGTTATACTTAAATCCTTTATTAAAAGTTTTTTAATGAACTCTTACTGTTTAGAAATGTTCTATGGTAGTTGTTTAGTACCTGGCACAGTGCTATAATTTAGCTGCTTATTTTGTTATTAAAAAAAGGTCTAGAAGCCCTTTAACTTTTTGCCTAATGTGTGACGATTATGCTCCCTTATGTATTTCTCTACGTGCTTTCTTCTGTGTCAGATCGGAATAGACAACAATGGGGGCTGGTCGATCTACTTTTATTTAATAAATTTCTAACTAACTATAGTAGAGTCTCAGTATAATATTTAAAGTATTCCCTTTCCTGAATTCTGTCCCCTTAAAACTTTGTTTTCACTTGATTCTTCAACCACATCCTATTCAAAGCCAAGGGGGATAGTCCATAATTTGACCATTTACCAACTCCTGTCTGCACTTGGTCAACAAGTCTTCTGAGAAGTGCTTAGTTAGGTGCCTGACAAAATCCAGAAAACTTACTCCTTATTAAATACCCAATTAAATTAATATTTAAGGAGAATTTTAGAAATGGAGCATATTGAATCATCAACTATATTCTATTGCATGTTAGAAGCACACTTACTGGTGTGTGTAATCATTTAAAGTTAAATATAGCAAACTATTGGAAATTACTTTTATTATAGGTAGCTCACAAAGACTGTACTTCAAGCCTATTTAAAAAGAAAATGTAAACTATTAATTTGATTCTTAAATCAGTACATTTAATTTCAGCATAAACTATAATATAATGCTTGATTGTTTCTTGTTCTAAAGGGTGTATTCCTTTTGAAAGATACACTATCTTTCAAAAGAAACAGGCGATTATCTAAAACCTCTCAAATCTACACATGCATGCTATTTATAAGCCAAAAGCTCCTAAATGAAATATTTTGGTTTTAAATAATATGGACCCATGTGGTTACAATTTTTTAAAAGTGAAGACATTTCTTTATATCAAATACTGTGAACTATCTTGATGTTCTTCATAGACCAGTACCAAAACATAAACTATTCATTTTCCATTTGTGACAGGATACACATGGAAGTTTAGTATTCAAAAACATTTACTTCAATTTGACAGAGTAATTTTATGTCTGAACTTAAAAATTTTTGAAATAGAGCTTATTTTTTCAAAATATTTTTTAATTGTAGATGGACACAATACCTTTATTTTATTTGTTTTTCTTTTATGTGGTGCCGGGAATCAACACAGTGCCTCACACATATTAAGTAAGTGCTCTACCACTGAGCCACAACCCCAGCCCCTAGAGCTTATTTTTGCATGTCTTTTTTCATTTCATTTTTCTAGTGATAAATTTTTAAGTGCTACAAATTTCTATAATAGATTGAAAATGAAGCAAAACAAAACAAGAAACACTGCATCTTCAAAGAAGCAGTGGGGTAGACTGTCACCAGAGTGACCAGTCAGGTCAAGATAAAGTTCTCAACCATGATAATAAAACAGTGGGAGTGAAGAGAAGGGAACAAGTCATGGTAAAGAGGTAGAATCCCAGGAATTAATACTCGCTTGGGCTGGATGGGCCAGGAGAGTAGAGGAATAGAGGGAAGTTGATGTCAAGTTCTATACATGATCCAGCTTGTTTGCATAGCTGGAAGAAGGAAAGCCAATCACTGAGATTGAAAATATAGGTTTTTATATTAATATAATCTCTCTCTCTCTCTCTCTCTCTCTCTCTCTCTCTCTCTCTCTCTCTCAAAAGAAAGGAGTAAAAATAGTAATTCTTGGATGGCTTTTAGCATGGGACATGATATACTTAATATACTTGTCAGACAGTGGGGTAGAAATGTTTGATTATTAGCATATTATAGAATTCAAGGCCTGATTTTACAGGTAAAATTTTATAGGAGATAAAAGAGCCAGGATTTGACTGTTTGATCTTCAACAGGTTAGGCTCCATTCCCTCACTTATAAATGTGAAGAACATTACTGTTTTGTAGGACTGTCATAAGGATTATATGTGGATCTGTGGCTCAAAAGAGGGATGAGGGTGAAAAATTAAGATTTCTAAATCCTGGGTATATATAATTCAAACCATGCAGATGAGTGAAACTACTGAAAAGGGAAGAAGAGTCAGGGAGCATTAGCTTTAAAAGGGTGGGACACAGCAAGAGGGGCAAAAAATAAGAATAAGGAAGAATGGACCAGAGGTAGGAAAATTATGAGGGTAGCACCCCAGAAATTGAAGGAAGGGTTTCATGAAGGAAGTGCTCAGTATTAAATATCTTTAAAGGGCCAAATAAAATGAGGCCTAGAGAGGCTCCTACGTTTGTCAACCAGCAAACCAGTGATTTCTGTGAGGCACTTTCAAGGGAGCAGCAGTAATAGAAGCCTTTTTGCAGTTGCCCAAAGAAAGAATGAAAAGTGAGCAAGGGAATAGAAGGGCTGTAGACTGTTCTTTCAAGACACATAGTGAGAACATAGAGTTCTCTCAAGACACATATTTCTGTGAGAAAAGAAAAGAAAGATAAAAAGTGGAAGTGGAAGGGCAAAAGGGAAAATACTGGAGTAATATCCAGAGGGGAAGAGAGGTCACAAGAACTCCAACAGAGAGATTATCCTTAACTGCAGCCAGACACTCTCCCTCTGACCCTGGGGGACAAGAGGTGAAGGCTGAGAAGAGGCATGTCCAGGTGTGGGTCAGCAGAGAACCTTTCTGTTCTCTGGGACAGCAGAAACAAGGTCTTGTGCCCTGAGCTTCTAGCAACTATGAAGAAGGCAAAGGTGATTGAGGAGAATAAGAAATCACGGGTACCATGGAAGAGGATCAGGGAGTGTGAATCCGGGTCAAAATATGCCTGCGATATTCTATTAAAAAAGCAGGTGGAATTTGACCACCAGTCTTTTTAAATATCTTTAGCAATGCTTACCAGCCCAGGTCCAAAAAAAGAAAAAGAATGTGATATATAGATCACATAAAAATAAATAAAAGATATTTAAAACCTAGAAGAATCAAATTGTTACTCCAGGGCTACATATGAGTGAAAAGACAAGGGCATGTGTATAGGACAAAAAAAATGATGCCATGGCACATAACACAGAGAGCAAACTGAAGCAAA